ACGGAAGGATACAGGCTCTTTAGGAAGGACAGGCAGGGGAGACAAGGAGGAGGTGTTGCCCTGTAGGTCAATGATCAGCTGGAGTGCATGAAGTTCCATCTGGGGATGGATGAGGAGCTGACAGAGATCTGTGGGTCAGGACTAAAGGGAGGGCAGGGACACGTGACATTATAGTGGGCATCTGCTACAGGCCACCCAACAAGGAAGACTGGGAGGATGAGGTCCTCTATAGACAGATAAGAGCAGACTTATATTCACAAACCCTGGTCCTCATGGGGGACTTCAACACTTTATCCTGTGGAGCATATAGTGGTAAATCTGCTAGCATACATTGAAGGCCCTCTTGGAAAGTAATACCATTTAAGTCTGTCTTAATGGCTAAAGCTAAAGATTTCAACACCCGCTCAGCTCCCTTTATTATGAGTTGGAAGTGTACAGGCTCACAAATCACCTCCCAGGGATTTCTGCGGGAGGGCATTGTCTGGTACCCAAGGCAGCAGGTACTGGTCCTTCTAAATTGGCTAAAAGAGCAGTTATCAGCAGGGCAGTTTGCAGACTGGCTGCCAAGTTCCAGGGCCATGCACTTTTCCCCCCACGGTCAGTGGGATGGATAGTATAACCCCAGTGCAAAGCACAAGTCCATAAAGGACCAGTAATATTTGGCCCCACAGTATCTAACGAGATCCCAGACCTAATGCCAACAACTGAGCTTCAGCTGGGGCAGAGTGAAGCTGATTGGCTTCGGACATCCAGGTCCATGCTAGCCCGTATGCAAATGTTTCCCTTGTATTAGCTCGGTATCTCTCTTTCAGATCTCTTAATTCGAGAGTAGTAAACCGTCTAGTAGTTGTTGTGGAAGGAGGAGTATTTTGTGCCACCATGGGCATGCTCTGTTGTTGATTACTGGTGCCAAGAGAGCAGGGGGCAGGGAATCATCCTCATTCTCACCTTGCTCTGAGGGAAGAGTATGCAAGTTTGATTCTTTCAAAATATCCCCATCCCAATCACCATCATACAAGGCACACTAAACTTTAGTTTCCAACAACTTCCTCCTCTACTCTTCAGCTTCTGCAATTATCTGGGTCTGAAGTTTTGACTCAGGCAGTCTGTTTTGCATTTCTAATTGCTTGCACTTCCAAGTATTTTTTCCATTTCCCTTTTCTCCATTTTCCTTTTTCAGATGTACATTTTCCTCTTTGAACACATCAACCATATCCATTGCTGCTCTAAGACAACTGCCTAGTAGCAAGCACGTAACAGCTTCCCCTTTTCCCTTCTTTAACTTGCAAGAATCTGGCAAGCTCCTGCCAAATCCGATCAGCCATTCACCATTCAAGTCATAAGGCTTCATAACTTACAACCCATAACTTTTAATTCTTACATGTATGAGGAAAAAAAAAAAAGAATTGGTAACCTAGCCGACAGTGAGAGTGCTCATCCTTCCTCCTCCATCAAGGTGTGATACAGGCATCCCCTGTATCACACTGGAAGCATGGAAGCAGTCTGTGGAGTAACAGGGCATGGACTCTGGCAGGGTTTCAGGCCAAAGACCTTTATTGCTACAAGTGTCCGCTTTTTATCCAGTTACAGCTCTTTCACGCGCCACAAAATACGTCCTGGTTGGTTACCACACACAGTCCACGCACTTCTCCACAGTCAGGATTCGCTGCCTGCAGGTGTCCACGCGCTCCTTTACTTCCTCTTAGCTGTTTACCGCAGCTCCTTCTCCTCAAGGCTGAGCCCTGCAGGTGTCCAGCTGTTTACCAGCTTCTCAATGCCACAGCTCCTTCTCCTTAAGGCCGAGCCATGCAGATCAACGCCACAGCTCCTTTTCCTTAAGGTCGAGCCCTTGCAGGGTGATCCCAACAGCAGTCTAGCTGCTGTTGCATCTGCTTCAAAGGGGTTTTGGGTAAGCTGATGTTTTATACCTTCCAGCTTGGAAGTTTGGTCTATAACATTTCCGTAAGTTAGCAGATTCTGAAGAAACTGCCAGACAAAAAATGTCTGCAGAAGCCAGCACTCTGCAGGTGATACCAGCTGCATAAGGGTCCTTTAGCTCTTTCTGAGCACCTGTCCGGCCTATGTGGTGCTCTCCCTTTGACCTAATGGCACTGCTCCCAGCATACATCAGGCCTCAGTGTGAGCTGTGTTAGCCAAAATCTGAGGAGGAGTTGAGTGAACAAAGATGGGGGACAGAATAGGAAGGGTAAAAGTGAGAAAACTAGTGGGTTTAGAAAAGGAAGTTTAATAGGTAAAGCAAAATAAGGAATTAATTCTCTACCTCCCATCGCAGACAGATGTTCAGCCATCTCCAGGAAAGCAGG